AGTGTTTCCAGAGCCGATAATGGCGACGGACTACCCCGAGACAAGAAAGGCATTAGCAAAATGACCGGTAGAGTTGTTTGTCATATTTTAGTGACGCCTTCAGAACTGACCTTCGCCCCCGCTGCAACTAGGTCGCTAGCATTACGATACGATTCCGAGTGTATGTTGGGGCCCTTGAAGGATTCCCTGCTCGGAAGATCCGGAAGGGGCGCGGGTCCCGCGAAGCCCGCGCCGCCCGTGGCGAGAACCATGCATTTGCAGGATAGGGTGCGTCTAAGATCCCCCGTCTGTATCTCAATATTCCATGTCTTGTCCTCTTGATTGTACTGGGTTGCGGCGATTGTCGTACAGTGTAGGACACGACGGTCTAGGTCGAATTCCTTTGCGAAAGCGACCATTTGATCGGCTAGCTGGTCTCGTGTGAGACCGTCATTAGAAGCCTGGGGATACGCTAATCCAAACTGTTAGTAATGATTCAAGAGTCCCTTCACTGATTCGGACCACGAGATTTGAGTAAGGAGATTTCTCGTTGGCGTAAGAAGGCGACGAAGCGCCGAGAATCGCCCTAGGGTTAGGATTACGGTCTTGCCTCCTTCGTCCCCATCCTTATCCGATACGTCCGCCGGTGTTTGAATGACTATAAGATACAAGTTTTTTGTCTCTACGAGCTTGATATTACTTACGAATGTACGGTGTCTCGCAGAATGACTTGTAGACGTGGAAACGCATGCAGTCGTATCTCGTCGCCCAATTATCCCCTACCCTTGCATTCCGGTCGATCACGACGTAGTCGATGTCCAAGGCCTTCAATCGAGCGGCCAGGATCAAACCTCTACAGGAGTGTTTGTTAAATGCAGGTAACAGATTAAGTAGGCTCTTGGGGACTCACCCGTTGCCCCCACCGACGACCAGCACACTCGTAGAGATATGGCTGTCGTCCGTCACAGGAGTCGAAGGGACTCTGAGCAGACCCTCATCCTCGGGGAAGTCTTCGTACTCGGAAAGGTATGTACTCATGGACCAAATCTTCCATTCGTTGTCGCCCGAGTCACGGCCGCTAGGAATGAGCATCATCTTTCCTCGACAGGAAGCCTTGGGAGATCCAGTCATGAAGCTGAATTCACAGTCGAGCCATTTCTAGAGGAGGGCAAATCAGCACCGGGCTAAAACACCGAAGGTTGTTTCCCTGTACTGACAAGTTCACTGGTGGCCGACAAAATCTGCGCCTTCTGAAACTGAAAGCCTTGGGCCTCGCGAAGCGCGAAGAGTTCCAGTAAAGCCGATGCAATGGCACCTTTGCCATTGAAAGTTCTGATGTGAGCTGTGAAAGATAGTGTATCTTTCCAATGACAGGATGGTTCGGCGAAGAGGGCTTCGATGGCATGGTGCTGGCGCTGCTGAAGAGCCTTTGAGAGGCACGTTACCACGTCCTTTGCGATCTCCTCGGCCTTGATCATGTCCCAGTTGTCTATTAATTCTGCCGTATTAGGGAGCGTTTCGTAAATATCCCTCCCGATGTCGACCTTTGGAGGGTTATCTGGTAGCTCCATCATGGCGTTTACCACCGTTTGCTTTCGCCTGCTGGACCGTGGTTCTCGTTGAGGTTTTCACATTAAGCTTGCAACCCGAGGCATGGCAGCGGGAGGGGTTTTATGATATTTCTTATGTGACATCCTTCCATAGAGGATGAAACCTCGAGTATACATGTGCGCTCTCTGAGTACCACGGAAGTTCTCGCAGCAACCTGCAGGTCATGTTGACCGGCATCTTCGAAAGAGTAACCGGGATATGTGAATGCCAACGAGGCTTGGGGAAGGCCGTAAGATGATTCCTCTGGGGTAAGAAAGGTTGATGCGTAGGCCATAAGGCAATGCAGGATTTCTTGGAGAAGTGCAGCATTCTGCTATAGTGCCTCCAACTAATTAAGCAGAATTTCAACAATTGCAGAAATGGCGTACGCTTGGCTTGCGGTTGCATAGGGACGGTGTCCGTGATGATACCCTGACACAAGATGTGCCCCAAAGCAGTGCATTGATAGGACGAAAAGGCCGATGTATCTGACGAGTGTCTGCTGTACGCTCAGCCATCCCACCGTTGTATCCCTCGAGGAATTCATTAGTGCTTACCTTACCTATGCTGTGAAACTAGACGATTCGAAGGAGCAATAGCATTTCTTCGGACTGCACCGGCATTGAGGGGAAACATGCGGCCCTGATTCTAGAGGCAGTAACCCTCCTTGCTAGAGGAAAAAACAAATAATCAGTCCTGGAGTACCTTGCTATACCGTGCTATCTACTAGTGTCTTTCTCTTATGCACAAAATGCCTCGATTGAGGGCGAACGCGAAGGAAACCGGTAATAGTCTGTGACTACCTAATCATAGTTACTTAGAGAGAAGAGAAGTAGTTAGTTATACTTGTCCTGTGTCTAATGGAGTTGGCTCCTCCAAGGATAGTCTGTTTTCGAGCTAATGAGGACTAGGCATAGGCTTGTGTACCTTGTGGTCTATAAGTTTTGTCACACCTTGATTGACGCCTTGCGAATTACACGATCGAGGCTGGCTTACCCTTCCTTAGTTCGGTTACTGGTACATGTTACTCTTCCCCACGTCATTTGCCAACACTCGAGTGTTTTGCGCCTTAAGACTAATATCGCCGATGTTGGATTGAATTTAGCAGCAATAGGCTAGGGAGAGTGGTAGATTAGATAGAGCACAACGATGAAGCTCCCCATCGGCCGGTTCCAGGCGCCAAGCTGCTTGTGACACCCCGCGACGCCCGGGATACCCTTGTTGACGAACACGAAGGGTGGCGCAGCAGCTCCCCCTGGCTGTTCGCCCCGGAGGATGAACGAATGGACGAATGGTACAACGTCATCCCACCACAGGGCCGGTGGTACAGCCAGACAACTTCCCCAAACGGCACCCAGCAAGACCAGCTCGCCCGGCCCAGACGTTCCGCCGGTTACGAACACCTCTAGGCAACAAGTTAACGACCTGTGTTTGTCTTCCTCCATACGCATAGTCTGTATGTACTCGCTGTACAACTCATCAGCTCCAACCTGAGGCGAACAACAAGTGACCCCCTCCCCCGCAGCTCCGCAGCTGAGCTTATCTTAGCTCCCTTCAGCTCTCCAACCCCTTCGTCTCACCCCAACTTTCGATCTCCAACAGCTTCCTCGGATCTCCCATCCGTACCTTCGTCACATCCCACAACACACAAACCACCCGTCGCAGCTCATCGGACGCCGGACGGCTAAGTGACAAGATGCCTCCATTCCCTATGCCTCCCCACGGTATCTGGAGCCAGGATGCCTTCCAGCACCCGTCCTACAACCCGACCACGATCCCCCGTCGGCCCCACCCCCAGCCCCAGCCTGGCGCAAGCAACAGCACCAGCAGCACCCGCGTCAACGTCAACACCCGTTCCTCAGAACCTGGCCCCAGCGACGCCGTCACGAAGGAGTTCTTCAAACACTCAAGCGCCAAACGCGTCAACACCGACGCCCTCATCTCGAAAGCCCTCAAGGAACAGTACCCCCACCTCGAGCTGGTCGTCGTTCCTGAATCCCTCGGCTACGGCAACGGCTGCAACCTTCTCGCCTACGCTCAAGGCGGCCACGCCACGTTCGAGGTAATTGATGACAAGGATGGCAATAACCTGCCCTCATCCCTCGAATGGCTGCTGTACCTGCCGCCCTCCCGGCGCATGGACGGCAACCTCGGCGGTCTGGCTACAATTACGAATTTCGGCAAGTACCTGTACAAATGGCAGGGCCATGAGTTCATCGTCTACCTCGTTGATGGACGCGACGGCGTGATGCCGTATCCGATCAAGAACTACTATGTCCTCGCGCCGCAGACCTACCACGTTGACCAGCTCGTTCTGGCCGCAGGGAAGTGGAGCAGCGACCTCCACGAAGAGGTGTGGGTGTTCGATCAGGGGTACTGGCAAAAGAGCCACGAGCTGTTCAAGAGCTTCCGCGATGCTTCGTGGGAGAACGTCATCCTGGATGAAGACATGAAGAAGGCGCTCATCGAAGATCACCTATCATTCTACAACTCAAAGGAGACGTACCAAAACCTTAAGGTGCCGTGGAAGCGCGGTCTCATCTACTATGGGCCGCCGGGCAATGGCAAGACCATCTCCATCAAGGCCACGATGAATATGCTTTTCCAGAAGGACATCACGACTCTCTACGTGCGCACGCTAGCGTCCTTCATGGGGCCAGAGTACTCTATCCAGCAGATCTTCGGCAAGGCTAGGGAGTATGCGCCCTGCTACCTCGTGCTGGAGGATCTCGACACCATTGTCACCGATGACGTGAGGAGCTATTTCCTGAACGAGATGGACGGCCTCAAGGCCAATGATGGAATTTTCATCATCGGCAGCACCAACCACCTCGACCGCCTCGACCCAGGCATCTCTGTAAGTTATTCCTATCGCGAATGTGTATACAAGTTCGAGAAGACTGACACGCAACAGAAACGCCCATCCCGCTTTGACAGAAAATACTTTTTCCCCGACCCCAACCTAGAGCAGCGCATCGCCTACTGCCACTTCTGGCAGAACAAGCTCAAGAGCAACAAAGAAATCGACTTCCCCGACCAGCTCTGTGAGGCCATCGCCAAGATTACGGACAAGTTTAGCTTTGCCTACATTCAAGAGGCCTTTGTGGCCGCCCTGCTTGCCATTGCGCGCCGCTCGGACCACCGCGGTAGCAGGAAGCGTGACAGCGTTGAGGCTTTGACGGAGCAGCTTGAGGATGACTGGCTTGGCGTTATCGATGACGCTGAGGATGACGGCGACTTGAAGAAGCTGACGTTGTGGGTCGAGATCAAGAAGCAGATTGAGATTTTGAGGGACGGTATGGAGGAGAAGAACTAGATTCTGGCTCGATTGGTATCTCAGGGTTGCATAAGAATGGACATGGCTTTGCAATGATCGCAGTGTACAATAACAGCATAATTCGCAATGATTTGGAAAAAAGACCAATCAAATCCTAGGGGTTGTTCATGAGTGGTATTGGCGCCGCTCCGGGAGTCGAAATCGCAGTAGTTGTACTGTCGGCAACTGGCCCACCACGTAGTCGATCGGCTGCCTGGGTAAAGAAGGAGTCGATCCGAAGACTGACCGGAAGAAGGAGTAACTCCGAGATTGAGTCGACGTGTCTTTTCAACCGCTGCAAGGTGTCGTGAAAGCTCTCCAGCAACTTAAAGGCTGATGTGATGTCTCCAGGCTCAGATGCCAGCACAAACAGGTAAATGATGAAGTTGCCGCAGAGTATGAGCTGAGAGCGGGCGTCTAGGGAAGCCTTAGATGTCAATACAAATTCTCTCGACTTTGTGAAAAGGTCTGAGTGAAGCGGAAAGGAGACGTACGGCAGCCCCAGAAGCCTCGTAGGTCCATAGGGTTTAGTTCACTCATGAAGTCCGTGAAACTAGCAAAGTCTGAAAGTGCCGTGCCGAACCACAGGCGAAGGCTGGATGATGGTATTGCCTTGGCAACCTTGGTAGCTGGACTCATGAGGGCACGGTAAAGAAGCGCCAAGTGGGCGTAATACGCTAGATGTAGGGGCGCTGCCCCCGTCAGATTAAGATCTTCGCTGGGACTTTCCTTTGAAACATACCATTATTGGATAAAATACATATTGCATTCTCGAGATGAGGCATCGTAAGACATTGCGGCAGTATCGCTGCCCAGTTATGGAGTTCTCCCCGGAGCGAGACTAGACGCCCTCGATTCTCCATTTCCATCTTCTGGGAATCTGGTGGCGCAAGCCTGGGTATCTGACTGAGCCAGTTATCAGTCCTCCATCTTCGGAGTCAAAAGAGGTTTCAGGAACAGAAGGCACTTACAAACTGCAGTCCATTGCCTCTCGCAAGGTCTGACTTATCTTTACCAACTCCAGAAACCGCGCTCCAGAAGCAATATCAAATCCTACATTACACGAATAGACCAGTGATCGCAAGTCCTCAGGAACGCTCTCATCGGATCGCAGATCTTCCATAGTGACGAGTGACGTGTTAAAAGAAGCAGCATAGATATGTGGCGGGTTTCCGTGGCACACTGCCGACCACACGTCAGTCATATACGTAACCCACCAAAGCTTCCTCCGCAGCCTCTTTTCCCATGATGAGAGATTCCACTTCTCAGCGTCCTGGTGCAGTCCAATCATCTGGGCAGCGGCTACGGCCTGCGCTGTCGATGTCCAGGTTTTGGGGTGCGCGATACTGTCTGTCCTGTTGGGCGTCATGTGGAGGAGGAGCAGGGATGCTTGAAGCTTGGCTAAATTTGGCGAGTCGAGTTCTCTTTGCAAAGAGCCTGTGGCTAGGTCTGCGAGCTCATGCTGTTGGAAATGAAGGGAACCTTGTAGTGACGGCTCAGACTTCCAAAAGACTGAGGCTAGTGCGTATACTGCCCCTCGAAGGGAGGCAGGAAGCTTTGTCTTGTCTGCGGAGTATTGGTTCAGAAACCTGACCTTGGATAGAACAGGCAGCACTGGATGAATGTGTCTGAAGTACAGGCGTACGAGCGTAGGACCGTGAGGCTCGACCATTTCCTCTATCGCACGAGAAGCTTCTTCCCGGGCTTTGTTGTCGTGGGCTGTAAACTCGTCTTGCAAGAGACAGAAGTGAACCGGCGGATCCCACGGATATCCGCTCCCTTCGTGTACCTGAATGAATTCTGCGTCAATCTGATTGGGCCCGCTGAGAACGTCTGAGCGGAAGGAGGCGAGGAAGTGAGTGTCTTGTTCGGCTGCCGGGCCCATGCTGTGTGCTGTCCTATTTTCATTGTCTTCTAGTGTCTGCAGGTAGGGTGCTGGGATCACTTCGATTGAATCACTACCAGCCGAAGGGCGTATGTTGTTTGACGCTATTCTCGGAGACTCCGAGTTACTGGAAGGCCCATCTTGCGCAGCATCTTGAGGGGCGGGTGCGGATGCGAACAGGGATGCAGATAGAGCCGAACTGGAGGCAACACTATCCGAAGCCGATGACTTGCATTCTATGCCTCGCCCCTTGCAGAAAAGACCTGCACCTCATCAGTCATGCATCCTCAAGACACGTCAACCTGGGAACCCACACGACTTACAAGGTGGTGTAGACGTGATAACACACGCCGTCTTTCTCTTACGGCACGCGTCACAAGGGCGGTTCTTTCGGCTTCTTGATTGTCTTGCCTGGCCGAACTCGCTCGGCACTTTGAACCTGCGTCTTTGGGGAGACTTTTTAGTATCTTTAGGCATGGTGTCGATCAAAATTTCGATTCCATCAAGCGTTCGTGATAAGGTTGGCCGACGGTGGTGGTATTGTGTGAGGGAAGTTGGCCGATGCAGTTGGCCGATGCCGATACCGCCTGTGCGCATTTTGGTCATCAATGTTAGTGGCTTACATGCGGGACCTGTCACTGCGACGCTAGGGAGGGGTGGTAACATGCTCCGCCGGTCAACAGTACAATGGTTGAACCCCCTTTCTCATATTATAACTGCGAACCTCATTCTTGCCATCGCTTTAAGCACGATTTATATCATGATAAGTCTCGCAATCTCATCATTATGAAGCTCTAAGTGCGTGTTTCAAAGACTATGCCGGGTTAAGATAGCTTGATAAGAATTACAGTAGTGATGAGAATAGAGGTAGACGTAGGTAGTTAAGAAGATTATGACAGGTACGGAAATTGTGTATGTGAATTCTAGCATCTATAAATCTTCTTTGAAGGGTGTGGCGGAGTTTGCTGTCTTGGCTCCAGGCCCAGAAAGCACTCCAAGAAGTTCAGGAGTCTCGGCCAGCGTCACGTCCCACTTGCTCTGTTGCATTCCTTGAAGTTCACGCGCCGAGGGCGCATCTTTGACAAAGGCATTCAGACTTCTCGCCGGGAAAAGCCAATGCAGGAACGCGTACACCAAGCCACTCGAAAGAAGCCCATAGATATACGACATGGAGTACAGCTCCGTGGCGCCCTCACTAACAGTTGCGGACGTGTCGACGGCGGCGATGAAGCCTGGCATGCAGGGCACAACACCAACAAGCCACTGAAATGCGAGTCAACAGTGATTCTGTTTCAATAAAGATGGAAGGTAACTCACTGCCACTGGGGCTCGCCAGTTGAAACCGTAGGAGAACCAGTAGATGCTCCCCGAATCGCCGCGGTACAAGTGGTCCACGTTCACCTTGCGTTTATTAACAATCAAGTAGCTAGATATCATCAATCCCGTCATCGGAGCCAAGAAGACACTATAACTTGAAAGGACAGTGAGGAAGATTGTTGCAGTGTTGACGAGACGCCACGGGTTGACGACGACGCTGAAAATCGCGGTGATGTAGGCGCCACGACGGATGTTCAGGTACTTGGGAAATGTCGCAGACAAATCAAAGCCGCCAGCAAGCGCGTTTCCAGGGACGTTGACTCCGATCTGGGATATAACGAGACAGAGACCCGCAAAGAAGCAAGCTGCCCTCGTTCCGGCTGTTTCGTCCTGGGCCAGCAGCTGAGCAAAGAGCGTAGGCGGGTTCCAGATGGCCTCGCCACCAAATCGCTCCTGGGTCGCTGCAGTGACGAGGATGCCGATCAGAGAGCTGAAGATACTATAGAAAGGGAACGAGATAGCTTGGCCTACGATGGCATGCTTAGGTTGTGTAGCGAATCGAGAATAGTCGTTCTGGTTCAGAATGCCCGCCGCGATGGAACCGATTGTTGAAACGATGCCGTAGATCATCAACCAAGCCACACTGTCTGGTCCTCCTGTGTTTGGTAGGGCAGATCCTGAGGTAATGGTATCTCCGAAGCCCGAGGATCCCATAGTTGCGAGAGCCCAGATAAGGAGTACGATGAAAAAGACAAGAGTGATGGAGCAGGCAAAGTGGAAGAATTTCTCGAGACGATGCGGGCGGATCCAGATTACTGGGAGAGAAATGACGCTGAAGATGATGTACGAGACAAATTGCGCAGTTGTCATACCCGTGTCTGCTGGCATGCCATTGGGAATGTGGGATTCAAGCCTTGGGTCCCAGGAAAGAAGGATCACGTAGATGCACTCTCCTCCCACCCAGGCAGTGAAACCATACCTGTGTTATAGTGTGTTAGTACAGGTCAACATGCCGGCAATGTTGATATTAAGGGTCCTACGAACCAGACTAGAGACAGGCAGAATGAGTTTATGGTCCGTTATGTGACGTGGTTGTAATGCGAGTAGGGAAACTTACCAAGGGACAGAAAGATGCGATTCCAGATGACGAATTGTGATCCCCACATACCCCATACCGCTCGACTGAACACAGGAAAGCCAACTAGGTAGACTTAGCAACACAAGGAAGTCTGTCGCAAATTGCACTTTGTGGACGTACTATGATAGTAGCTGCCCGGAAGTGAGTTGATAATCACGACGGCGGTGGCAATAAGATTGCCAAGAATGATACCTTGAAACACGTTAAACAGACCTGAGGAAAAGCGAAAGAGGAATCAGACTCACATATGAAGGCCTGCCACCAAGCTAGACCTAGAGGGATGAGGGCACTGCCAGTCAAGTAGGTGGTGATGTTGCAGTTGACCAAGAGCCCTTGGAATCAGTCAGCACAGAGGACCTAGTACAAACAAGCCTTCACGCACAAAAGTTGTGAAACGTCAAGAAGCCCCAGGTACGTCTTTGAGCCTCAATGGGTCGAATGTCATCGTTCTGTCAATTATTGCGTTAGTGTTGTTTTGACTAGCAATCCACCTCTAACAGCCGGCCACATGAACGATGTGCGGGGGTGGGCCGAGTTTACGTACGATCCAGCGGGAAACATAGGGGAGTTCCACCCGCTGGAAGGCGGCTTGCAACCCCATTGTTTCCTTTGATGTTGGCTATTGTGAAGCAAGCAAATGGAACGATGTTGCAGAAAGTTGTGGACGAAAGGGACCTTGTCTGTTCGAGTCCTTCGCTTCGGGCATGAGTGCGGCACGAGACATGCATGATTTGAAGAGGAGTTCCGTTGAAGATATAAATGTCGGTCTATGGTGGTGTTATCTTGGCACTCTTCAGTCATCCCACGTTGCGCTAACAAGGATACTTATCACTCTCTAAGGCGCTTTCGGAAATTCTAGCGGGTGTTATCTCAACGTAGGGAGAGGAGCAAAGGGCCCCGGCTGGGGATGACCCCTGTCCAGGCTGAAGTTGGCCGATCGATCGGCCAACTTGGAGGTCGTGAACCCCTCAGGCGGGGCTCCTGACGACTAAGTGCCACAACTTACACGGACGCTAGTAGTTGACCTAGACTCTTCGACCATTGGAAACTTCGTCGGTGCTGTTGTCGGCCAACTTCTTATCAAAGTCTTGGTTGGCTAAGTCTGCCTTAGCTTAGGTAAAATCCTTTGTTAAGCGCTTTGCCATCCGCCATCCACCATAAGAAGAGGTAGACAGAGCAAGTAGTTTATTACCGGACGCAACCACACCGTATGTCGCCCTTCGACTTCACTCCTCACCTTCAACACCATACGTGAGTTCATCAATCATGGGACTTTACCGCATAGGTGTCGACGTAGGTGGAACGAACACCGACGCCGCTATCCTTGACATTACGGCCTCAGACACGCCCGGCCGCGGTGTCCTGGCTTCCCACAAGGCCTCAACTACACCAGACATTACCACAGGCATAGAAGCAGCAATCCACGCTGTAATTAAAAGCTCAGAAATCGATCAGAAGCGAGTCCTGAGTGTGACCATAGGCACAACGCACTTCATCAACGCTCTTGTTGAGGCTGACACGCGACGGCTTAGCAAGGTCGCTGTCGTCCGTCTCTGTGGGCCATTTACAAGACAAATTCCCCCATTTTCGGACTTCCCCTCTGGTCTTCATCGTATTCTAGATGGTGGTGTCTACTATCTCGATGGGGGGCTGGAGATCGATGGTCGGGAGATTGCGCCCCTCGATCATGGGCAGATTCGCCAGGCGGCCAGAGACATCGTCGCGTCTGGGGTGAGATCAGTTGCCCTAGTCGGTATCTTTTCACCGCTGGATCACTCCGGTATGCATGAAGAGACTTGTAGAAGAATCATGCTGGAAGAAGTGCCGGGTCTCGATGTGGTTTGCTCCCATGACATAGGCCCACCTGGCCTATTGGAGCGAGAGAACGCGACAATCCTCAATGCCGCAATTCTCAGAACAGCGCGCAAGGTCACCCGAGGTTTCAGAATCGCAATGACGAAGCTAAAGCTGGCGTGTCCGCTTTATCTGTCCCAGAATGATGGCACACTGGTCGATGCTGATACGGCAGCCGAGTTCCCCATCAAGACCTTCGCCAGCGGTCCGACAAATAGCATGACTGGAGCGGCTTTTCTCGCCGGACTGGATCAAGCAAAGACGACGATCAGAGATCCTATCGATACCTCGGAAAAGAAGGAAGTGGAGCCTCAAGTGCTCGTCGTTGACATCGGCGGCACAACCACAGACGTATGCGCGTTGCTACCGTCTGGCTTCCCTCGACAAGCGCCTGGGTTTGTGGAAGTTGGGGGCGTGAGAACAGCATTCTCAATGCCCGAGGTCGTTTCTATTGGGCTCGGTGGCGGCAGCAAAGTCAAGATGAACTCCGAATTAGGGGGTGTTACGGTCGGCCCAGGGTCAGTTGGGCACTTCCTTACTGAGCAGGCAAGGATCTTTGGCGGTCCGACACTAACAGCAACGGATGTTGTGGTGGCTTCTGGGAACGCGAAGCTGGGAGACGCGAGCCTCATCAAAGACATCCCAAGCTCAACCATTAACGACGCGCGTCAGAAGATTAAAAAGATGCTGG